AATTTTCTTGTGTTCAAACACCTCAACAAAATTCAGTGGTAGAAAGGAGACACCAACACATTTTAAATGTTGCCCGAGCCTTGTTTTTTCAATCTAAGGTGCCCATTAAATTTTGGTATGAGTGTGTTTTGACAGTTGCTTTTCTAATCAATAGAGTTCTAGCACATAACCTCAGTAATTGTACTCCTCTTTCTATGCTAATGAAACTTCAAGAGAGTTTTGTTCATCGATAATCGAACTTTATGAAGAACGATACTTGCGGTCACCAAATGCACATGATATCCATCATCTCCTACAAGAAGGTGAATCCCGAGGTTTTCCAGGTATGCTTGGATCTTTAAATTGTATGCACTGGCAATGGAAAAATTGTCCAACTGCTTGGCACGGAACACACAGGGGTCACCACCACAAACCAAATTTAATTTTAGAAGCAGTTGCATCGCATGATACATGGATTTGGCATTCTTTTTTTGGCATGTCAGGTGGAAATAATGATATTAATGTCTTGGACCATTCTCCATTGTTTGATAATATTATACATGGTAGAATGCCTCCAGTTAATTATACGGTGAACGGTCGTTCATATACGATGGGTTATTACTTAACTGATGGTATTTACCCCAAATATGCAACTCTTATTCAAACCATTGCTCATCCCACCACTACGAAAGAAAAATTATTTGCGGCATAACAAGAATCAGTTAGAAAAGATGTGGAGCGTGCATTTGGTGCTCTACAAATTAAATGGGGTATAACGCAAGGACCCGTTCGATATTGGTCAAAAGAGGATATATGTAATATAATGAAAACATGCATTATACTCCATAACATGATTATACAAGATGAACGTGGAACTGACCTCGAACCATGGGCACCACTTCCAGAAGAGAATTTTCGCCCCCTTCAATATGAGCGAGATCCATCGATTTTGGCAGCCTATATCTCAGCACGTCTTAGTCGGATCCGCAATCGACGAACCAATGAAGATTTGAGATCTGATTTAATGAACCATTTGTGGAATATCTACGGAGAAAAAGATGTCTAAATATCTATTGCTTATGAGTATTTCTAATTGTAGTTGTGATTTAATATTCTTTTATTTTCACGTTGTTCAATTTATATTTTATATTGTGATCAAATTTAGTAAAATTAAATTTCATGATTTTTTTTTTTGACATTTCTTATAATAAAAGTGATGAATGTGAGAGACATATGTGGAACTAGGGGTGGGCATTCGGGTCGGGTCGGGTTATTCGGGTTATTCGGGTCGGGTTATTCGGGTTTTTTGCAAAAAAAAAATTACCCGAACCCGACCCGAAATAACTGGGTACCCGGTTGCCGGGTACCCGGTTATCTCGGGTCGGGTTCGGGTTTTGCTATTTTCCTCTTTTTTTTTTTTTTTTTTTTAGAAAAATAAAAGTAACTAATTTTATTTAAGATATACATATATCTACAGACATATATATATATATATATATATATATATATATATATATATATATATATATATATATATATATATATATATATATATATATATGTATATAAAAATAAAAAAAAATAAAAAAAATAAAAAAAAAAATTCAACCGGGTACCTGGTCGGGTACCCGGGTAGGATTTCTAATACCTGGACCCGACCCGGTTTGGGAGCACCGGGTACCCGAACCCGGGAAAAACCCGGTTACGTAAAAAATTACCCGATCCGGTCGGGTAATACCCGACCGGGTCGGGTTATACCCGAATAACCCGACCCGAATGCCCACCCCTATGTGGAACAATCAAATAAATTAAAATTAACGTATTTACGAAATTAAAATTTAATTGTAAAATAAATATTTCTTCTATTATTATAGTGAAATTGAATTATTAAATTAAAATATAAGTTTTTTTACTATATTAATGAATTTAAATATAAAATTTATTTTACTATTAATATTAAAATCAATGAAATTTAAATTTGTAATTTCTAAAAATTATAAAATAATTAAATAATTATTAAAATTAATTATTACTTCTCATAAAGGAAAAAAGAAAAAGAAAAAATAAATAATTCAAGTCAGATTAGTGTCGGTGTGGCACGCATTTCAAAAATACATTAAAATAATCAAAAGGACTCCACATACACTCCCCAACCATGGATTAACTGTGGGCACTTCAATTGGGAGTCCCATGCCACATGGCACTTTTAGGGAAGCTAGGGGAAAGCACTAGAGATGATAAAATTATCAAACACTCCCAATATTTTAAAGTTCTGACAAAAATAGTAAATTGGGAGTGGCACTACAGATGACCTAAACTGATATAATCCCTGCTTTTTACTCGAGGGCATTTTAGTCTTTGTATGTTGGGTCAAAGCATAAATAGGTAATAGGTCATGTGTGTTATTTACAAAATTTCATAAGGGGGGTTTTTGCTAGTTTATTTATTACAGGGGTTTTTTGCTATTTCAAGATAACACAGGGGTACTATTTGCACAAAACTCATATTATTACATATAAATGGTTGGGTAAACGGCAAATAGGCCCATGACAAGGGCACTTAATTAAAAGAGGGACATCCAACTTTTTTGTCTTTCAAATAAATCCAGCTCATTCAAACTTATTTGCAAATAAGGAAAATCCCTTTATATATACCAAAATGAACTCCAATTCATTGAAACCCAATCAACTCTAATTTCATTATTTACACTTCAATTTAGTCCAATTTCATTAATTAACCAATTTTAATCCTAATTTCAATTTTGACACGCCACCACCGGAGACCGCCGGTCGCCGCTGTTGACCGGCGTTGACCGCCGGTCGCCGCTGTTGACCGGCGTTGACCGCCGGTCTCCGAAGTTGACTTTTTTTTTTTTAAACATTTTTTCCCTATAATTTTTTTTCAGCCGGTCAACTGCCGTTGACCGCGGTCTCTGGCGTTGGCTCATTTTTTTTATAATTTTTTTTCTTAAAAAAAATATTTTAATTAATATTACAGTCTTGGCTGCTAAAGTACTGTCTTCGACAGTTATTTAACTGTCGGAGACAGTAATTTAACTGTAAATTGACTTTTTTTTTCAAAAATATTTTAATTAATATTATTGTCTTTGCTACTAAATTACTGTCTTCAGCAGTTATTTAATTGTCGGAGACACTAATTTAACTATTAATTGATTTTTTTGAAAAATATCTTAATTAATATTACTATATTTGTTATTAAATTACTGTCTCCCACAGTTATTTAATTGTCGGAGACAGTAATTTAACTGTTAATTGACTTTTTTATTCTGAAAAAAAAAAAAATTAATTAATATTACTGTATTCGTTGCTAAATTATTGTCTCCAGCAGTTATTTAACTGTCGGAGACAGTAATTTAACTGTTAATTGACTTTTTTTTTTTTTTTTTTCTAAAAAAAATTATTTTAATTAATATTAGTGCCTTGGCTGCTAAATTACTGTCTCCAACAGTAATTTAACTATCTTAGACAATAATATTAATAATATTACTATTCGGAAAAATAATATTCATAATATTACTGTCCCATACAGTAATATTACTGTTTGAGACAGTAATTTAGTAGTCAATATAGTAATATTAATTAAAATATTTTTTTTCTAAGAAAAAAAAAATCAACAAAAAAAAAAAAGTCAACGCCGGAGACCAGCGGTCAACGGTGGTTGACCGGCCGGAAAAAACAAAAGTTTTCAAAAAAAAAAAACGAGTCAAAGCCGGAATGTGGCCGGAAAAAAAAATCAGAAAAAAAAATATTTTCTGAAAAAAAAAATTGGGTGTCAATGTGGTATATTTGTTTAAATTCGGGGTCAATGTGTAATATTAAGGAAGTTAGAGCATAATGGGTGGAATTGAAAGAATTATATTATGGAAGGTATTTTAGACTAAAGACATGGGGATGGGTTTAATTGAGAGACTGTTTTTTTTTTTACCAAAATGTATTTAAGTCCCATGTGATGGGTCTTTTTGTTATTCGCCCTAAATAGTTTAGTTAATATTATTACATATAAATGGTTAATATGCTAGAGGTCCCTAGGTAGAAATGTAATTAGATGTGAAATACAAAAACAAAAATGACTCACATTCTTAATTGTTTTTAATCCCTAATTTGCTCGTACCCTAAATCCATAAACTCTAAAGTCATGTTTCTCTGATATCTATCTTATTTATATCTTCTATTTTCTTTCTTTATGTCTCCCTCTTTCTCTTGCGCTTACAATCTGCTGAACTATTTTACAAAAACGAAAAACATGTTTTTTTCGTAATGTTCAATAATGTTAAGAATAAGGAAATAAGTTGTTTATAATAATGTAAAAATTGTTAGAATGAAAAAAGAAAACATAAAGATGATAGAGTGTATAAAAATAAAATATGCTAGACGAAAAATGAAGATATTAAATGCATAATAAAAAATGATAAATGTAGATTAAGTTTTACTTAATGCATATTTGAATTTGTGAGTGGATGAATATTTTTAAAATTAATTTAGAAAAGAATGTAAAGTAAAATAGTAAATATTTAATTAAATTTGCCATTTAATTTCAATAAGTTTAGGAACCTAATATAAAATAAATTATAAACCAAGAAAGCTTGTACTCTCTTTAGTGAAGTTTATTGAAAATATGGCCACTTATAGAAAAAGAAAATATAAAGCTGAGTAAAAGGGGATTGATTCCAACGTAATAATATCAAATCCTTTTCCACTCTATTAACATGAGCAACGTAAATACATGTCACTGTTCACCAATTACATTTACGGTAACCTTATGCTAAAGTTACAGCCCGGTTAACGATTGCCCTCTACTTGATGGACACGTGTCGGCAAGTCCCTGCGGCGGGTTGTGAAAGGCATGTTACTCTGTTACTTTCACCGTTATCATTTACGTGCAGGTTGGAATTCGTACAGATTTAGAAATTTTTAATCAAAATAAATAATTTAAGACCGCGTTTGGCACCAACTAAATGCATTCCTCCAACTTTGTTTTATTATTTTTTGTTTGTATCCCAAAAGAAGAAAAAACAAAACAAAGCAACCAAACGCAGCCTTACCTTTCCCCCCATTTCCACATGATCTCTGCCTTTCAACTTTGTTCAGTCCTTTTTCTCGCCAAAAAAATAAATTTTCTTCTCCGGTGCATGAAGGTTTGAATTTTGAAGCTCCGACTGAACGAGTAGTAATGGCTTCTCCGGCCGAATTTCCTGTTCCCAAGGTACTCTCTCTCTCTCTCTCTCTCTCTCTCTCTCATCAGAAGATTTTGCCAATTTAGGCAAGTGGATACGTACACTATACGTACATAGTAAGGCATACATGATGCGTGTGTCTGTGTTCTGTACATGCCATACAAAGTTCCTCTGTTTTTTGTTACGAGTTTTTGTTTCTTTCGTTTTAGTATTTTTTTTCCCTCGTTTGTTCTTCATTGATTTGTGCAAGGGTTCCAAAAATTGAATGAAAATCAGATTGGGGAAAGAGGAATACAGTAATAATTTGCTGAAAAGTTATCTGGTATGCTTGTAGAATTGGAAAACCTAATCCCTTCTCCATTTAATTTCACTGATAATCACACCGGTGTATGGAAATACTTTATACATGAGCATTGTAATTTATTTATTCAAGTGATCCTACATACATTTGTCTAAATCGTGCTGATTGCTCTAACTTGGGCTGTTTAGGTAGTGTTGTGAATCATTTGTTCTTCCCGGAATATGTCGACGGATGTGCTCTGTTTTTCTTTTCTTTTTTTTTCAATTTTCAATAATTCTGTTAGAACATTGAATTAAGTGGCGTATTCATCTGTTATGCATATGGAAATCATCCGCGATTTACGATTCTCTTACTTTAACCCTTGAGATTACTTACCTGTTAAATGTTCGTTTTACAGCTTATTTCTTCCAACAGATTGCGTGGCCAAGTAAATTATCAGAATGTACAAGAATTTTATTAAGACTTTTGTGTATTAAGGATGAGGTTCTTATTTGGAATGTTTGTTTGGTTTTTTAGCTATAAGATTTATTGGTGCAGTTAGTTGTCCTACTCGTTTTATTCTCCTAGGTTTGCTGAAACATGCAAAGATGCACTGTCTTGATAATATAATATCCGATCACACACATATTTTACTATAATTCTGCATAACCGATTTCTTTGCATGTAAATGGCACGGGACTGGATTGCCTCTGACTCTTTCAAGATATTTCATACATCTAATATTTTTTTTTACATGAAAATTTCAACAGTGCAATAACTTGATCGAATATTATTTCAGGCCATGGTTTGTTTGGCTTGCGGCGGCAAAGGCGACACCAAGCGCCTTATCTACTGCATCAAGTGTCGGGATTCTGCTATTCATCAGTATGTTTTACCAATAAATTCATTTGCACAAACACATGTTACAATCACATTTAGAATGAATGCTGGTTCTTTGGTCAGTATGCGGATCATGCATTAGTATTTAAAGCAGATGATAAAATAATTACAGGTCCGCCGATATTTTTAAGAGCCAACTCATTTGTGACATTTATGATTTATCGACCAACATTGTATGCTACTGTGCCATGAATGAATTCTGTTCTCTCTCGGTTATTTGTTTTACGTTGATCAGTTGAAAATTATGCGTTACAGCCTTTGACCTGGTCAGCTTGCAGATTTCCCCTCTGTGTTTATATCCACAATCCTGTTTGATTTAAGTTTATCTTAGAACAAATTATCTTAATTTGCTGTTACAGTTGATCATTTATCTACATAAGAAGCTATAAAATTTGACGGTTAAGGGTTTGTTAGTTTAGTTTACCAAATATCAAATGATTCTTGTTTTCTAAGCTCTTTCTACCAAATTTGGACTTTATCACTGAAGTCAGATGTAACAGTAGAAGCTTTTCTGAAGCAGACTTCTCTTTCATAAATTGCTTCTATATGATGATTTAATGCAGTATGTGCTTCGTAGAAATATGGGTTTCAAATAGAAGTAGCTTTTAGAAAATAGGGCTCACTGACATGAATAGAGGAGATTAAACAATTAGACTACATCGGAGTTACTCGAAAGCTCTTATTTGAACTCATCGCGAAAAACGAATTATGGGTTTCGTCCTTGTTTCCATATCTTTATTAGTTCATGGATGTGGCTTACATAATATAAAGTATGTAAAGATGATTCAGATGGTCAAACATAACATACTCACATCCATTATTGTATTTCCAGCTATTGCTTGGAAAACTTCTCCGGCGACGATGATAATATAAAGTGGTTATGTTGGGATTGTGCACCCAAAGATAGCAAGGCTGCGACATTCAGGAAAAGTGAAAGGATTAGTTCGAAACGACAAAAGGTTCTAGAAACTAGAAGTTATTGGAAAGAGAGGTTACACCAAAACAAGAAGCCGATCCAGACTAGTAATGAAATCAGTGGAACTGGAAAGTTAACCACTGATGGTCATTTGCCTACCGAGAAAATTGAAACAGACTTGTTATATGGAAGGCAAAGAGATCAAGATATTCTGGTCGAGAAAATGTCAGTACCTGAGAATTCGAGCCTCATTGATGAACAAGATGATTCAACGAGAGTAGATGAACCTACGTTGGCAAGAAAGAGTCCCAATCCATTTCAACAGGAAAACGACATGAACTCATGTGACGACACTCAGAAAATTGAAGAGGTTGGAAACAAGAAAAGAAACTTACTTCTTAACTACGACACTGATTCCCAAGACGAGGGGAAAGTGCTCGATCTTCAAGTTTCAGCTTTAGTAGCTTATGATCATTGCATCACATCGGACAAATTACACGGCCACCCTTCTTTAGAATCCGATGACAGTCCCTCTGCAGAACCAGTTATTGATCCCATATGGAGGTAAAAAATCTCCTTGTAATAACTGTTCCAGTCTTATTTACTGTTTTGCCACAATGACCAATTAGCATTTTTCTCTTCCTTGTGTATGTGTGAGGATAATGGTAAATCTTTATCTAATGCAATTCCAAATTACTAAATTGGCTGCTCATTGATTGTGAAATTTCATTTTTGCTGCTACTATTTCTGACCGTTCTGTTTATATTATCTATGTTGTTGTTAAACATGAAGGGGGTGGTTCAATGTTAAAGAAGAAAGTGAGACGTGTTTTGAAATTGCAGCTCATCTGTCCAACAAAGCCTGCTCGAGAGTATCTGATGCTGTAACCTCAATCCCACCAATTCTTGACATCGAAGTCGTGGACAAACACGATGCATGGCCAACATTTTTCAAGGCCTCACCACCAACAGCTGCTAGCATTGCTCTATATTTTTTCCCAGCATCTCTAAGGTTGGTATTGGTTGAATTTAGCTAGTATTCGTGTCTTTCTGTTTAACAACTTGGCAGCTTTTTCCTGATTTTCTTGTATTTATTGAAGGGACGAAAGGGTTTTTGATGGTCTACTTGATGAGTTTATCGAGAAAGATCTTGCTCTGAAAGCTACGATAGATAACGCGGAACTCTTGATATTTCCCTCTTGCGAATTGCCTATACAAAATTGGAGTGAGTTTAATAATTACCAAAAAAATTATACTAGCAAATTTGTAGTTTTGCAATTGAATTTCAGGGGATGTTATTGAACTGGTTTATGGCAGGGTACAACAGCAAGTACTTTTTATGGGGTGTTTTTAGGCGGAAAAAGTGGTCGAGTTCGCCTGACGAGAATGCCACCTGTACTGAACAAAATAGCAGCACAGAGTGTTTTGGATTTTCTGAGCCTATAACAGTAGCAAAATATAAAGATTTGGTTATTTCTGAATTTGCGGATCATATGAAATCTCCAGGCGAAACAAATCAAAGTCCGTTGAGCATAAGCAGCAGCCAAGCATCTAATGCATTTTCTTCGTCGAAGCATAACACTCCAGAGTTTCTACTGTCGGCTTCGTTTGAGCTAAGTATGCTGGATAAGGCAATGGAGAGAGACGATTGGTTTCTGAACAAGAAGTTGCAGCTCGAAGAACAAATGAGTTGAAGGTGAAAATCATGGGATTGCATTCAGTGATGATACAAACTTGGTCTGTAGAGAAATTTGACACCATTGTTATTTTTAATTACCTAGGTTGTTGAAATGTGTAATGTATCGATTTCTTCAGTTCGTCCAAACAAAATTTTATGGTGAGAAAGATGTTGCGTGTGCGTTCTTGTCTGACACAATTCTCGGTCCTTGGGCGTACATAAATCAAAAGTTTCAATGGAAGAACACACATTCGTTGGCAAGCCAAATCCAACATTTCATGAAATGTTTTCATCTCGTACTCCAAATTTATCCGTACATCGTCCAAGTATATAAAATGAGATTGCTTGAGTACATTCGACATATGTATTTCAATGTAAGGGGTGTTCGTTTTATAAAACCATACCGGAATGTTTGTTACGGTACGCCAAGTTTTGTAACGGACTGGTCCAAAGCAATCTTTAAAAACTTTCCCAGAATAGGATCCCTTGTATATTTTCTTCAACAATTAAAATCATTTTTATTTAAAGTAATTATTGTAAAATCTATTTTATCTCGGTCATTTGACTAACATTAATCTAAATATAATGTATGCTTCTTTGAGACATCCAATTAATAACATTTATCAGATACAAAAATAAGCATAAAAAACACAACAACATGTAACTATAATTTAATGATCATTCCCACTTCTCTCGGTAAATATAATTTACCAGTGAATGAAATAATTCATCTTTGTCAATATCTGATTCCATATTGTGTTTTTTAAAGATTTGAACCAAGAACGAGTAACTAAAATTTAAGAATTTGAGATTTATGTATTTGAATTATGAAGAAAGACTATAACGAATTTTAGCCTAAACCACATAATTTCTATTTTTAGTAATTTTTAAATTGTAATAATTTTCAATAGAAAAGTCTAATTTAAATTCCTCGAATTGGATTGTTCTTAGAATTAAGTTCCAGTAGGACTTGACATTTTTCTAAACAAAATATGATAAATTTACGAAAAATGACTATGAACTTCTAAAAAATTGAATATTTTGATAAAATACGGTAATCAACTTATGAAATTTAGTATCGACTTTTTAAAGTTGACATTGTACTATTTGTGAAAATTGACACTAAATTTTTGGAAAAAATATTTTAACAAAAATATAATTCTAATCTTGTGAAAACTACACCGAACTTATGCAAAATTTGTAAGAATTGACAATAAATTTCTTAAAAAATTAAATAATTTATAATAATTTTAAATAAGGGTAGACAACAAAAAAAATCTCATAAACTTTGGACGTTTTTGACCTTTTTATCCCTGAGACGGAAAAAATTGTAAGGACATACCTGAACTTGTTAAATAGTTGCACCGACGACTAAAAAGTTCATTTATAGCAAAAATTCTGCCTGAATTGCACATGTGCAACTCACACCTAAAAATGAAGGGGCAATTTCGTCCATTCATAAGATTTTCAGATAAGAGAGAAACAAAGAAAAAAAAAAAAAAAAAAAGAAGAAGAAAGAAACCCCCACTTGGAGGGCACAACCGGGCATAAATTGAAAATGGAGGTGAGATGGTTTCCCTGTCGTATTATATATGATGACATGAATCCATAGATATTTTTCCCGACAACATTATCCAAATTTTGAACATCAAAACCCTAATACACACCAAAACCCTGGAAAACTGTAATTTCAGGGAAGAATTACAGTCAGATTATTTCTTCATCTTTCTTTCCCCTTCATTCAAAGGGAATGGCCCCCTCGATATCTTTAAGCCGCCCCCCTTTTAGCTCTTTTAATTCCATTTCTTCTTCGCCATCTCTCTCTTTCTTGAATAAACCTAGTACTACTACTGTTAATATTTATCATAATCACGCTGCCGGATTTCAGACCGCTTATCGCCCCCTGCTCGTCAGCTGCTGCTCTAACAATGGCGCCCCCTCCTTGGATCCCATTAATTTCAGGTCTTGTTTTATTCTTTTCGTCTTAATTCTAACTCATTTTAATGTATTAATTATTATACATTCTCGTTTCTTGAGGGTAATAATTTGGAGATTTATTAATGTGTTGTTGGCATTTGCTTAAATATTAGTATTGTGTGAGAAATTCACAGTTGCTCTGTTTATAATGTGAATGGATGTCCACTGTGCAGCATTTGTCGGAATTTAATAAAGAAAGGATTTTTAGGTACTGAAAGACGGGGCTTAATAGAATTCCATTTCCACCTACCCCGTTTCGGTGTTTAAGTTAATACGAGAGTAGCTCTGTCATGCAGAGGTGTTGATTGATAAAGACTCGAACTTTTGGTTTCTTGACCTTTGTTTCCAATGAAATGACCTGAATTCCGTCTCCTTTTCACGTTGCACTGTTTTTTTTTTTTTCATTTTTTATATTCGTTTAAGTTTTTAGTTATAACTAGCGATATGCCCTCATTCGTCATTTGCTCAAAGCTGTAGGCACGTTTTTTTGGTTAACCCTTCAGCTTTCTCGTCCCTTTTTATGGCTTTGTTGTATCCGTACCTCTTTAGCCGAATCAAGAAAATCTTAATAAGGGATAATTGCGTACGTAATCTCTTTCTCTAGGTTTTGTTGTTGTAATGTAATATTTTTCGTGATGTTTCATCTTATAGGCAACAACAGGTTTCATCTATGCCAAGACCTCCTTTAGGCGTGACGATGAACGACAACAGTAGCAGCATGCAAAAACCGTCGTATAAATGGCGCAGGGTGTTGCTTAAAGTAAGCGGAGAGGCGCTTGCCGGCGATCAGCTCCAAAATATCGACCCAAAGGTTACAATGGCTATTGCTAGGGAGGTTGCTTCTGTCACTCGTCTTGGTATCGAGGTACATTTTTTTTTTCATTTGCTTTTTGTTTGGGAATAAATTTAGTTGTTATTCTTTAGAAATTTGATTGAAAATTTAGCTATGGTGATAATATTTCTGTATTATATTTCCGGGCCACTGGCTCTCAAATTCTCATTCGTTGCCGAAAATTTCTTGTTCCTCCGCTGACTGGTTTTGAGATTTGACACCGCATTTTTAATTTTAACTTTTCAAATAAAAAACCGTTTATTAGAAAAAAAAATGTCTTTTATTTCAGGTTGCAATTGTTGTCGGTGGAGGAAATATCTTCCGTGGGGCCTCCTGGGCAGGGAGCAGTGGCCTCGAGCGCTCCTCTGCTGATTATATTGGGTAATCCTTTTTCCTTCAATTGTTTATTTATATTTACGAAATATCAATTTTTTTATAAATCCGAGTGCTGCATGTTTACGATATTTAAGTAAATTATCGAAGCAGTCAAGTTTTTTTAACGGTATTTCTTGTTCAGGATGTTAGCAACTGTGATGAATGCAATATTTCTACAAGCAACAATGGAGAGCATTGGAATCCCGACAAGAGTTCAGACAGCTTTTCGCATGTCTGAAGTCGCCGAGCCTTACATAAGAAGACGAGCTATTAGGCATTTAGAGAAGGGTAGAGTCGTAATATTTGCAGCCGGAACTGGTAATCCCTTCTTCACTACAGATACTGCTGCCGCCCTTCGCAGTGCAGAGAGTAAGTCCTTTTTTCTTTCTTTTTTTTTTTATTTTTTTAAATACAACTCATGTACAGTAGAACCTCGATAAATTAATAACCTCGATTAAATAATAGTTTCTCCCGGTCCCGACTCGGTGAAAACATGTTAAATTATTAACTCGATAATTTAATAATTCGCTAAATTAGTAGAATTTCCCTAGTCCCGACTATATTAATTTATAGAGGTTTAACTGTACATTGATTAACGTTTGCACTAATGTTTGAATTTTTTATTAATGTTGTAATAATAATTAGTTAATGCTGAGGTGGTGTTGAAAGCGACGAACGTAGATGGAGTGTACGACGATGACCCGAAGCGGAACCCTAATGCTCGTCTACTTGATACACTAACTTACCAAGATGTGACTTCGAAGGAACTGTCTGTCATGGATATGACCGCCATTACTTTGTGCCAAGAGAACAACATTCCCGGTAAGCTTTCGTCGTTTCCCATTTCGCCCCTCACTCCAAGAAATAATTAACTAAATAAATAAAATTTGTTTTTGGTGCAGTTGTGGTGTTTAATCTGAATAAACCGGGTAACATATCGAAAGCAATTCGGGGAGAGAGTGTCGGCACATTCATTGGACGATCAGCACAGACTTGAAGATATATATATATATATATATATATATATATATATATATATATATATTTTGTTGATCTAGAGTTTTATTACAGCTAAAGACAGAGGATACAACATATTTTTGAAACCTGAGAATATTGATTTTTTTGTCATGAATTTGTATTAAATCTATTGTAAATATGAGGAGGATATAATATATATAATATTAGAGTACTACTGTAGTACTGTGGCGTAGAGCATGCTTGATTTCTGACTTTCGTTGACTATTTCCAGTCAAATCTATTATTAGTATAATGTTACATAAAAGTGCAAATTACGAGAAACCCCTCAAGTAAGGTTTAATTATCAAAATTCCCCGCATGTTTGCATTATTACAAAAAACCTCCTGATAATATGTTGATGTCTTACGCATATCACATACGGTGTTACTTTTGATGGAATCTTTTTGATTCAATGGAATATTACTCTGAAAATGTCATTTATTAATATCAATTTTAAACAAATGAAATGCAAAATGTACATATTAAATATAAATAAATCATGAAAAAGAAAACTTACAACTCAGTCATCGCTTTTACTTCTTTATTTTGAGGTATATTAGGATAACTATTAGTATATCATTCTATTTGTCAGAAGTAATATCGTAGGTGACATGTGTAAGATGGCAACATACCTCAGGGAGTTTTCATAATTAAGGAAATTATGGGGCGATTTTCGTAATTAGACGTTACCTCAGACGGATTTCTCGTAATTTACCGTTTATTGTTTTTCAAATAACTAAAGTTAAAACAATCAACACATATTGCTGTGAATTTAAAGGATCAAACACCGATCAGATCAGAAGGGAAATTTTCGTAATTTATCCTAAACAAAATTTGAGTTCTTCCAGCTAATTTTCCCTATTCTTTTTTCCAAGAATATAATGCATATAATACACATTAATTCCTAAATAAAGGGTGCACAAATGCACATAATACAACCACTAGACTGGTTATTGGTGATGTATGCTAGTCGGCGAGCTTGATTCAAAACTAGACTTATATATAAATATAAAGCATTCAATAGAGAAGAGTACAATAAAGCATATATCATCAATTCATCATCATCATCTAATAGAACCAAAAATATGAGATTAATTGCTAACTTCACTTCACTACTTACAATAATAAATAATAATTTAATATAGATAAACATAGTACTACCAAATAATATCGTAATAAATCAAAATAACACAAATTGGACAAGTAATTAATTACCATCCACAAGAAAAAAATACATCCCTAATGTATGTATATATAATATATATTGATCAAAAGCCAATTTGGGCAAAATCAATTTCAATTCTTGATGAATTGTTAGTGGTGTGGTGTGGTGTACACATGAATGAATTTTCCTCCTCATTTCCTTCACACAATCACACTTTCTCTCTCTAGAAAAAAAAATAAATAAAAAAAAGCTAATTAAAAGAAAAAGAAAGGTGGAAAATTCCACAGTGGCGGGCGGGTGGCTAAAAGTCAAAGAAAGGGTTGAAATTGAATAGATCAGAAGTAGAAGAAGAGGGTGAAGGCGACGCCATTGGACCTGTAAACAATGTCGACGGGCTTGTTATGAACATGTTCAACCCCATCATAAACGGGTCCCCCGCCGGCGAGAAGAATCCCGGCGATATCGGCGGTATACTCCCCGGCGCCGGCGTTAGTATTCCTGGCATACTCCCCATTTCCACGTCTGTGCCTTCCAGAAATTCGCCCAAGAAGAAATTGCTCTCGTTGCAGAACTCCCTCTCCTTTGGGGGGCTTGCTTTCTCTGTTGAAGCCAGCCTGGCCGCCGGAGAGATGTTCCCGGCTCCCGAGGAGGAGGAGGCGCCGCCGTCCGCGGTCGTGTTGCCGGTGAGTCTCTGCACCAGATTCCTGAAGTCGCTGACGGTTGTGTGGATGACTTTTGGGGAAACCGCGTAGATTATGACGGGCTGACGGTCTTCGGCGGGTTGCGGCGGCGGAGCTTCTGATTCCGACGGTGGTGGGTTATTAGGCGGCGGCGGCGGCGCAACTGGTGGCTTCCTGATCTTGTAGGAGTCTTTGTTGACTTTAAGGGCTGAGGGACGTGGGCCCTGCAGCTCTCTCCGAGGGGAGGGCCGGTTGCCACTGTCATCCCACCCGCCTCCGCCGCCGGAGAAGTACTCCATCGGAAGCAGGGATGGTAGTGGACAACTATATCTGAATGATTTTTTTATTTTTTTGTGGGTGGGTGTGGGTTAAGTCTAGAGAGAGAAAGTAAAGGTGTGAAATGGCAGCTCCCAACTCCAACACTAGATTCATTTTGTATACAAATATGCAAAGGCAAAAATTAAGGGGCAAAAAAAGGAGCGCATTATTTAACATGGGGTTCTCTTGCAATTGTAACTTTATCACCGGCCAATAAATCAATCTAGAATAAATTAAAGCTTTTTTAGGCAAAAATATTTTTTTGCTGCTAAATTATATACAATTTTCTTGTCATTCTTAGTTATATCATAAAAGAAAAGATGCGATAAATGTCGTTTCAGTTTTAGTAATATTCTTTCGACTTTAAATGTGATTTTGATAATTTCGAAATTTAATTAGGCAAAACTTAAAACATTGATTTCGCAGTTCTTTGAGTCAGTTTTCTAATTCAACTTAATTTACCAAGATTAAATGTTGGATGAGAAATATATGAAATTATGAATGTATCAATGAACACTGCCTACCAAAACACGTAGTCGATTAAGGGTCCAGCCTACGCGAAATTCTCTACCCCGCCGTCCTCCGCCCGATCTACCAAAAATTCCTAGATCTGCCTCCCTATGTCGTCACATCGCCGCCACACCACAACAGCACCGCCCCACTTCGATATTTTGACGGTTTTTTTATTACAAATAAGGAAAATTACAACCCGCACCACCAACCAAAGCAGAAGCACCACCCATCAAAATCCAATCCCGGCAATAAATCAACGAAAAAACCATCTTCCTCGCACTCGTTTCGGCAAACACGCGGCAAAATAAGTCATCTCCAAGAGAAGGAAAAGGAGAAGAATCGTCGTTCTAGCGGCGTCGACGACTCTTGCTCTTTGCCTCCGGATCGCCAGAGAATTTTTGGACATATTTGGGTGGGAAATTGAAAAGAGAAAAAAATAACAGAGAAGAAGTGAGAGGAGAGGCATGAAAAAAAGAAGAAAGAATCATAAATGAGATTAGGGTTCTTCAAGAATATATTAGACAATTAAATTTGTTAAGACTTAAGATGATTGTTTTGAAGGGAAACGAGTTTTCTCTAATTACTTTTTAGAAGCAAATTTTTGATACCTACATTTCCCAAGTAAGAGGGTCTTGCTAGTATTCCCTACCTTACAACTTGATCAAGAGTAACATAATTTTTCAAATTCCAGGAATATTACTCAAAATATTCCAATTGTACTCGTGTAGTTGTAATACTCTGAGATAAGATCATAAAACATAATAGACTTTTAAATGTTGCATGATTTTTGATTCTTTTCCCAGTAAATTTTCTTTTTTGACATCACATTTTAATATGATGGTCTAAAGGTACTTCTCAGACTCGTGTTTAAAATAACCAAACTGTATTGAGTTTCTCTCTAACTTCGATGTTTAACTCTATTTCCACTAAAGGCTCATTTTATACGACCTTACATAATGAATTTTTGAACCTTCTAATCTTTAATTTTTTTTTTGGGTGGAAAAATAAAATTTCAAAGACTCTTATACTACGGAAAAATTCTTTATATTTTCTTTATAAATATTATAGGGGCATAAGATGTATACTTTTAATATTGATATGTTTTGTTATTGTAATTTTGTTTTTCAAGCAAATCTAGATATTTCACAATTTTCACTAAAGTTTGTGGACTATCATGTTTGAGGGCTAAATGTAATTTTCCGAATGAAAGGGGAATTTTGTAATTTAGACATACTTTGGAGGCTATTTACAAATAGGAATATTGACTAGACACCCTTTATTCTGGAATTATACAAGTGGAGATACAAGTGTTAGATGAATATATGTTTAGGTCCCTTAACCAATAAAATTAATTTAATCTAAATTAAATTAATAGTGCAAAGATATAAATACCCTTAATTAACACTTACATGAAAATATTTATTTATAGAAAATTACGGAACAAATCTCACATATCACTCTCTCTCTCTCTCTATTTTAAATATAATCATACATCTATTCATTTCTTTCTCTTTCTCTTCCCCTCTCTCTCTCTCTCTCTCTCTCTCTCTCTCTCTCTCTCTCTCTACATCTTGTTGGGTTATTTTAATAAAAATAATATATTTTATTATATATAATATTGGCTTAGACCACTTTTATGAGGTCATTTAGACCATTATTTTGAAACCTCCAAATCATTATTTTCTTACATAAAACACCATAAATTTCTTTAAATTCATATCTAATAGAGGTGTTATGATGGTCATATTATATACTATATAAAGTGGGTACTGTGGCTTTGCAAGAGGATAAGAGAGAATATAAAGAAGCGTATTTCTAAACCTCATATAGTAGTCTATATCTATATACATATATGTCGAGTTCTTGTGTGTGTCGGGTGTAAGCTTCTACTCACTTGAACGTGCAGTTTCAGTGAAGTCAAAGCGGAGAGATAGGCTGGGTTGTTGTATCGCATAGGCGACACGATCAGAACCTTTATGCCCCTCACTTAAGAAAGGGTCGTGAAATTCGTCTTAAGGAAGCGATCTAGTCCGCCCTTCACCTTGCATATCTTCATAATATTGTGTATATTATTGCAACTAATTATCAACTATGAAAAGAGAGAGCAAATGGCGTTCGAGCTTCAATCCGCCGTGACCGATCGTCGAAGTGCAGTCGTAGTTCCAACAATTTAAGATGAACTTTCAAACCCGTGAAAATGAGCTTTGGCGATGATCTAAAATAAGAGACATTTCAGACTTCGATATGATAAGGGAGATGATACGTTTCATTTTATATTTTGTTTTTTAACTAAAGAAAAATATAATGATCTTATTATTGTTGTAGGTGAATTTGCGTGTAATTCACGAGTTATTACTTTGAGGTCAGTTTCGGACCTGATACTGTCCGAATTTAAAAATGTGTAAAACACAAAAAATTGAGTAATTTATGTTGGCTGTCCTAAACATCTTGAATCCTTGAAATCGGACATCGAACGAGGGAGATATGCTCCAAATATTGAGCACTGCCAGACTGTCAATTGCGCGCGTATTTTAGGTATCGAAAGAATTTCTAATTGAAGTTCATTGAATCTAGTATGTTCTTCGATTCCAAATTAATTATAATGTTTTGCAATACAATAATGAGTTTGTAATAATTGCGTGAAGAATAATTGCATATAAAATGATATTTCTATGAGCATGTTTTTTGATGTGGTTAACTATATAAATTTATTTGTGTGGCAAAAATACATATATGGAAGGTGTCAAAAGAATTATATGAAAGAAAACCATTTGCAAAATGGAATTGATTGTATTATTATATGTATAAAGCTGTTACACCTTTGGCTCATCATTGCTTTTGATTCACTTAAGTTAATTGTTACAATTATTGAGTTGCAAAACTTTCCAAAATGTGTTCATGTGCATTTGTTTTCATTGCATGTTGGAGCGGAGAGAAAATATTTAATTGATTATTCACATATAGCATTTTGTATATATTTATTTACATTGTGAATAGATAATTTTGATGATTAATACTTAATACTAGCTATAATAATTGTGGGTTCATTTGATATACACCACTCATATAGAAAATATATAGGGATATGTTCACTCTTAAAATTTTTCATTTGAGATACCTTCTGGAGAGGGAAAAGTAATATTGTGCCCTTATGTGCAATTTTCGGCCAACTGCATTCAACATTTTCACCAACTGCATTTAGCATTTTGGACCTGCATTTAGTATTCTTGTTCTGCATATATTATGATTTTTAATTTTAATAATTTTTTTATTCTTGTATATATATTGTACTTTTTTTATTATTATTGTATTTTTTTAATATTTCAATTTTTTTAATTTTTTAATTTTGTTTTTTACTTTTTTAATTTTTTTAATTTTTTAATTTTTTACATTAATTCAAATTTTGGTAAAATTAATGTACTGAAAGTATACTACACATGACTAGAGTATACTACAAGTTCATTAGTCATGTATAGTTAGATGTAGTCATGTACTGTTTTTGGTCCCCAAAATTCATTTACACCAACAACAAAATTCACAATTTGGGTCTTGATATTATACATCAACTAATAAAACAAAATATGAAAAAAATACAATCACATGCATTTATTCTTCAAACATGAACAAGCATTAGTGTACATTAAAAAACCTGTAGCATATATATAACTATAAGTTACAACATGTGAATATAGTTATCTACAATTATCAATAGTTATATATAGTGACATAACGTCTAGATTGCTGTAGCATGAATCCAACTTCACAAGGTACTTCACCGCATTTCATGAACTAAACAAAAAATAAAACATGCGACAAAAAAATACGGGTTAAAGAGCAAAATGGAACATGTGAATTAGATTACATGAAAAATACAAAAAAAACATGATTTTTTTTTTCTTTTGATAAATTTACTGTACTGAAATCGACTACAAATGACTATATATAGTATACTACAAGTTCTATAGTCATGTATAGTTATATGTAGCCATGACTATACATGACTACATATGACTATATATGACTACATATAACTGTATATTCACCTGACCCAAATCACCCATCTAAGTAACCACTACTAATTAAGTTTCTACTACAGACAAACAAAGCTCTCACACTTTAGGCATTTCGAATCATCTTCAAATAAATACAAAAAATAAATTACATATGATTTAAAACAAAAATAAACAAGATAAGAATCAAATAAAATTAAAAATCAAATTAATCCAAAGGAGTTTTTTTTAATATTAATTGCTCACAGATCTTCAAATTAGTAGATCTGTTTTTTTCTTTTTTTAATAAGAAATAGTAGCTGGTTTGAGCCCTTCATCAACCAAAAAAAAAAGATTTGCAGATAAAACAATTTTAAGCCCAAGATCTATCAATGTCTATGTACTATATCATATATACCAAAGTGTAACGAACTTAACTGCTTTTTGAACCATTCCTATACGGCGTTGTTCCAACTTGAAGAAGCGTTATCGTTGTTCCTTTAAAACACGTTTTTTTCTTTTATTTTGGGTTTAGTTAAACGATGTCGTTTTAGTGCTGACCTTTTTCTTAACTCATGCGTTTTGAATGCACTAGTGCACCTGCTATCTTCAGTTGCTGCTCCCTTGTTTTCTATAAAAGGGCAGACCAACTCTTGCTTTCTTTTTATGCTTTTTGTGATTAATGTTAGGTTAGGTAAGGTAGAGTAGCTGGAGTCATCTTTTATCCGTTGTGTATTGAGGAAAACCCTACTTCTTCTTTCAATATTACACTTTCTTTACGTAATCTTTTGTTTTGTGAAAGTTTATGTT